CTTCCTCACCCTCCTCATCATCATGTTCCTCTTCCTCATCTGCATCTTCATCCTCATCCTTTTCCTCTTCCTGATCGTCGTCCTCTTCCTCGCTGCCATCATCCCCTTTCTTTTCCTCATCATCTGTATCATCATCCTCATATTACCATCGTCTCCTTCGTATTCAGGTTCCCGATCCTCATCCTTACCATCATTATCGCCCGCACCATCCTCATCCTCTTCCTCCTCCTCCTCCTCCTCATCATCATCACCCTCATCGCGATAACCCTAATCCTGAACCTCATCCTTCCCAGCCTTGCCCTCACCCACCACACATACTGTCATCTGCATCCTCATTGTCATCAGCCTCGTCATCCTAGTCCTCCTCCTTACCTCACACTCCTCATCCTCGTCCTCCTTGTCCTCCTCGTCATTGCCCCCATCCCATCGCTGCCTCAGCACGCGGCGCCAGCCCGCGACGCACTCCAGGATCTTGCGCGCCTCGGCGCAGATGTGCGTCGGAGACTCCCCTTTCAGCACCTGGGCTGCCGGCTCTTTGCGATCCCCCTCCACCCCCCCATCCACAATCCGTCAGAAGCAGTAGTAGTAGTAGTCGTCGTCGTAGTAGTAGTAGCAGTACTATTACTACTACTACTACTACTACTACTACGACGACTACTACTACTACTGCTTCTGACTACTACGACGACGACTACTACTACTACTACGACTACTACTACTGCTACTAGTACTACTACTACTACTACTACCACCACTACTACTACTACTACTACTACTACTGCTGCTGCTGCTGCTGCTGCTGCTGCTGCTGCTTCTGCTGCTTCTATTGCTGCTGGTACTGCTACTGCTACTGCTACTGCTTTCTGCTGCTACTACTACTACTGTCACTACAACTACGACTACGACTACAACTATTACTACTACTACCACTACTACTACTACTTCTACTACCACTACTACTACTACTACTACTACTGCTACTACTACTACTACGACTACTACGACAACTACTACTACCAAGGCTACTACTGCTGCTACTACTACTACTACTACGACTAGTACTACTACTACTACTACTACTACTACTACTACTACTACTACTACTACTACTACTACTACTACT